AAGGGTACGTTGCTTGAATGTTGCCTGGCGACTCTCCGCGTAGAGTCGGACGCCCTTTCCCGGTTTCACAATCCGTGCATTGTCCCACGTGTCGTTAACACAAGCTATCATAGGTTCGGTTCCTTCATTAAGTACGTCTGCCAACAGCAAGCTACATCACATACAGAAACTAAAACACACTATCTCGTGCTAGCACGTGATAATACAGCTTCTCTCTCCACTACTCGTTGCACATGCAAGTGTGTGCGTGTGGTAGTGTTCACAGCTCTCGATGTCTCTCGCTTTTACCATGAATGCACCTGCGTATGAGATGCGACGAGCGCTCGATGCGGCTACGTTCCTGTTATCAAGGAGAGGCGCGAGCTTCCTACAGATCTTGTGCGTCGCGATGAACTCAGCCGCTTAGTCGGCATTCATGCCTGTAAGATAGCAGTGCTGTGGGGTCGCTGTATCGTTGGTGCAATCTGATTGCTACCTTCTATTGCCATAGTTCAATCAAAATTATCAGTACATCCGAATGGTGTAGCCAAATCTTTTTACGGACTTCTTACGGCCTCTCGTAGTCTGATATGGTGTCTTTTACGACTAATCGGACCGGATGGTCAGACAAATCAGATTACTTGGTTGCGAAGAGGCGAGTGGCCCACTCATGCACCCATCTCTTAATCCCTCTCAAATCCTTGAAGACACCCGTAATCCCACGGAGCCTGATACAAACCGACCCTTCGCGGGTTCCATAAAAACTCGTCCCGACTTTAGCGACTGTTAGCCCATAAATATCAGTTGACAATCGATTCGCTATTAAACTCTTGGTGAGTCGATAGAAGACGTTCTAGTAACGAGGTTTTTTTCAAAAAAAAAATGGTCCCTAGTCGTGAAATTATAAAGATAACCCCTACCCCTTTCTATAATTCGATGTGAATACCCCTGTAAAAAGGGTTCTTGTAGTAGTTAATCAACGTAAAAAAAGTAATGTGTGTGTTTCATTGTAGAGGGGGGGGGGGGCTAAAATGTGGCAAGTATAAGTCGAAGACTATTGAAGAGGTATATGCCTCTGATCCTGGATATTGCCGTTGGCTATCCAAGCAGTAGACTATCGTAGGTGATGATAGCGATATTGCTTTGTTCCTAAAAAATAAAGTTTGGAAATGATGATGGTTCATTCCTGTTAATTACATTGATTGGCTTAATAAGAATGAGTTCGTTCAAACTAAATGCCCGAAGCTTAAGTCTGAGGTCGATGCTCTGCTGGCTTAAGTTATTAGAGTATATATATATTTTTTTAATCTACTTTTGATAAGTTAAGATAAACTTGTTACTCAATACATTATTTCTTTACATTTAGCTGTACTACTGTACCCCTTTATGCGAGGAGGTGCGAAGGAGACCTCCCGCTAGTCGAGTGGTTGCGTCATTAAATACCGCAGCTGTTATTTTAGAAGCTTTTGGCCTAACCTCGTTGGTAATTTACGCGAAGAAAAAAAAACTGGCGGGGTAATGTTCTAAATATTACTATAGCCGCCAGCGCCACACTCCAGATCACTCACTACCCACGGAGCGATATGGCATGACTGCGAGTCCAGGCGAGAACCCTCGCGGATCTCTTCCAGATTGGTTCGCCAGTTGATCAGGAACTGCAAGCCAAAATCCACTGCAGCAGGCGCGCCGGGTAAAGTTACGCCCACTTGACGTGATAATGCTGAATTTGGCGAACTGGTCAAGGACAGAGATGATCACGGACGTCAAGCGCGGCTGCGGCACTGGAGAGTGATCAACGCTCCTTGACAAAGAGTTTGCAGCCAGTGGTGCTCAGGCGATTACGATATGCTGGATGCGCTTGTTGGTCGGCGTGCTCATGGTGTAGCTCGAAGCTGATCGGCGACTGGATCTTCGGGCAAGCGTCAAGGTACGCCGATGGTTTTGTCTCAAGAGCATAATGCCGATCATATATCAGCATAGTATGGCGAAGCCTCCGATATGTATATGGATAGTGGCGACACCACTGACCGCGTCTCCATTTTGGTGAAGTCAACGTAGCGACCGAAGCATGTAAGTCGGCACCAGAAGTTCGTCAACGCGAAAGTGTCGCCATATACCGATATGATCTGCAGGATGCTGTTGGCACAAGCATAACTATTGAGCAAATTAAAACCTATTCAATCAAATAGACTGTTACAGTTGATATTATGGTTTGTTACTTCTCAATATCTTTGCTGCAAAACTCACCTTGTCCAAACGAATTGCTTACGATTCGTACTTAGCAGGTATCTCGCGGCCATCATCGTGCGACAGTCAGTTCAGGTTGGATTTTTGCCAGCTGTTTGTGGGTACTGAAACACCCCACGAACGCCATTATAGTTAGGAAGGCAGAGAAGTTGCTTAAGCACTCCACGCTAACTGTAGCGTAGCCTTCGCCTCGCAGTCCTTCCTCTTGGCCGCGGCCTGTCATCTCTCTTATGGACGTGGGCGGTCCCCAGCATCAGGACGCTTACCACCAGCTGCAGACTTCGCGCTCGCAGCGAACTCCGTCCAGCTCCAGCACGTCTGCTCACAACGAGAAGGGGTCGCGCAACATGGCGCTCCGTGGAGGCCCCGACCCCGCCATCGCTAGTAAGCGCGACGAATCCTCCGACTTCCGCGTCGTCTCTCTTCCAGCCACGCAGCGACAGCGCAATCTGCCAGCCAACGCGCCGCCCGAGTTCTGCTCCAACGTGGTGATCACGTCCAAGTACACGACGTGGAACTTCCTGCCGCTCTTCATGATCGAGAGCTTCCGTAAACTGGCCAACGCCTACTTCCTGCTCGTGTCCATCCTCCAATGTATCCGCAGTATCAGTAACACCAGCGGAGTGCCTACGAACCTGCCCGTTCTCGTCTTCATCCTGGCCGTCGACGGCGTGCTCGCGGTCATTGAGGACCGCAGACGCCATTTGGCAGATAAAGAGGCCAACTCGGCGCAGTGTCATGTTCTAAAGGAGACGTTCACAGGCACGGCAGATGCTCTGAACCGCGCGGGAGGCGTGGACGACCCGGAAATCGCACTGATGCACTGGGCCGCTCTCACAGTCGGCTCAGTAGTGAAGCTACACAACCGCGAGACCGCCCCCGCCGACCTATTAATTCTTGCAGTCGCAGAGCCCAATCCCAGCGAACCTGCAGGCATTTGCTACGTGGAGACCAAGAGTTTGGACGGAGAGACGAATCTCAAGCTGCGTCACGCCTGCGACGCCACGCTGCACGTGCGAACAGCAGCGCAAGTGGCCGCTCTGGGCGGTCAACTGCGCTGCGAGAACCCCAACAAGGCCATCGGCCGCTTCGACGGTACTCTGTCTGTCACAGAAGGCACGAAAGTGGCCGAGACGCACCCGCAACCTATCGCGATCAAGAACGTGCTGCTTCGAGGCTGCCAACTGCGTAATACCGACTGGATCTACGGCCTCGTGGTCAACACTGGACCGGATACCAAGATCATGCAGAGCGCGACGGCCACGCGTCCCAAGTGGAGCTCCATCAACGAGACAGTCAACAAGATGATCATCTGGCTGTTCCTGCTGCTGTGTTTCCTGTGCATTATCGCCACTACGGTGCAGGTTATCTGGCTCAACAGTAACATCGAAGAGAGCTGGTATCTCAGCTGGTCGCCCAGTATATCGAGTCAGTGGTTCATTGGCTTTGGCTACTACTTTTTGCTCATGTACCAGATGATCCCAGTGTCTCTGTATGTGACCATCTCGATGGTCATGTTCATCCAGGCCATCTTTATGACCTGGGACTTGGATATGTACTACGAAGAAGCAGATGTACGCATGATCGTCCGATCTATGGGGCTGAACGAAGAGTTGGGCCAGATCTCGTACGTGTTTAGCGACAAGACCGGCACTCTAACCTGTAACGTGATGGAGTTCCGTAAATGCTCAATCAACGGCGTATCGTACGGTACAGGAATGACGGAGATTGGTCGCGCTGCGCTTCGGCGTAAGGGAGTGGCGGTGCCGCCAGAGACAGAGCCAGACCCAGCCACACGTCGAGCCAAGATCCCGTACGTCAACTTCGAGGACGTGCGCTTGTTCAACGCGTTGGAGAAGCCTATCACGGACGACACATCGAACCGCGAGGCCGAGTTCTTCCTGCATCTGAGTCTGTGCCAGACTGTCATCCCTGAGTCTGTGGAAGGCAGCTCGGAGGTGCGTTTCTCGGCTTCGTCACCGGATGAGCAGGCGCTGGTGTCTGGTGCCAAGTTCTTTGGCTTTAGCTTTGAATCCCGTGGCTTGGGTGTTGCTCGAGTGCGCGTGAAGCGTCCAGAACTGATCCGTCGCTATGCCAACGGCGCCACCGAGCCCAACACGTTGCTGGAGTTCAAGATCCTGGATGTCCTGGAGTTTACGAGTGACCGCAAACGTATGTCGGTCGTGGTTCAGTATCCTAATGGAGAGTACTGGGTACTTACGAAGGGCGCTGATAATGTGATTTATCCCATGCTGGCCAAGGGCAAGAGTGACCCGGAGATGATGAAGGAGACGATGCGTCATCTGGAGACGTTCGGTGACGATGGCCTGCGTACACTTACGATCGCACAGCGTCGCGTGGATGAGAAGGAGTATCTGAACTGGAGCGCACGCTTCAAGGACGCCAACTCGTCGTTGGAGGAGATTGACAAGCGTAAAAACGGCCAACCGAACGAGATCGACAAGCTGATGACGGAGATTGAGCGGGACTTGGAGCTTTTGGGCGCTACAGCTATTGAGGACAAGCTACAAAACAATGTGCCCAGGTGTATTGCCAACCTCATGCGTGCTGGTATGCGCGTGTGGATGCTAACTGGTGACAAACAGGAGACGGCTATCAACATTTCGTACGCCTGTCAGCTCATGGACAACGACATGCAGCAGTTCATCTTCAATTGCGACTTGTATCCGACCAAGGACGCCATCTTCTCGCATCTGTCCGACGCGAATGCGCAGATCAAACGAGGCAACGGTCGCCACGCTGTGGTGATTGACGGCGAGTGCTTGGAGTTGACGCTGGCAGACGAGCGATGCCAGCACGAGTTCTTGGCGCTGGCTATGGCTTGTGATGCTGTCGTGTGCTGTCGTGTGTCCCCCAGTCAGAAGGCCGAAGTGGTGACGCTGGTACGCACAGCCAACAAGAAGGTGCGGACACTGGCGATCGGAGACGGAGCCAACGACGTGGCGATGATTCAACGCGCTCATGTTGGTGTCGGTATCTCGGGCCAAGAAGGAATGCAGGCTGTGAACTCGAGTGACTATGCTATTGGCCAGTTCTACTTCTTGGAGAAGCTCCTGCTGCACCACGGTCGTCTGAATTACAAGCGCATGTCCATCTTGGCTGGCTACATGTTCTACAAGAATATCGTGATGGTACTGGCGCAGTACTTCTACATGTTCTGCACGGGCTCGTCGGGTCAGAAGTTCTACGGTGAGTTGGGCTTCCAGCTGTACAACATTGCCTACACTTCGTTGCCCATCATTATGCTGGGCGTGTTCGACTACGACGTGCCGTTCGAAGTGGGTATCCACTTCCCCGAGCTGTATCTGGTGGGTCCGCGTATGGAACTGTTCAACAACTACACGTTCTTCAAGTGGATCTGCAGTGCCGTGTACGAGTCGGCCGTCATCTTCGTGTTCGTCGTCTACGCGTTCAACGAGAACCTCTCCAATGCCGGCAGCGCGCCGATGGTGCAGTACGGACTACTGGCGTTCACGATGGTGGTTCTGGTGGCCAACATCAAACTGTGCATGCTGCAGATGTCGTGGACCGCGTACGGCACCGTCTTGTTCTTCGTGGGCGTCATCGCGTACTTGCCGATCACTCCGATCGTTTCGAGCTACTGGATTTCCATGTTCTCAACGGAGTACGGCAGTTTCCAGAACACTCTGGGCCAAGAAACGTATTGGATGGTTATCCCGGTGTGTCTGGTGGTGTCTCTGCTGCGTCACTTCACGTGGACGGCGATCTGCCGTCGCTTCTACCCGGATCCGTGGCAGATTGTACAGGAGCAGTATGTGCTGCACAAGGACAAGGACGCAAGACAGAATCGCGCAATGTCTCGCATCGACATGGAAGCTGGCATCCCCATGGTCAACGGAATGTTGCAGGACGACGAGACGGCGTACATCAACTCGTCGTCTCCTGGTCGCGGCTACAACGTGAGTATTCTAAGGCTTTTAAGGTCCTATGAACGCATTGTCTAACATGTTTCTCTGTCGTAATTTACAGCCCGCACAGGCACAGGCTCAGTTCGCCGGCAAGACCAGGGGATCGGGCAGTGGATTCGCGTTCAGCTACGACCCGCAGACGTCTCTGGCCGAGTCATACATGTCAACACACGACGTGCGTCAATCAGCGTCGGCTATGCATGAGGCAGAACAGCGCGGCAGGAGGTCTCGAGAGGACTCGCGAGCGTCGGACTACGAGTCTTCACGCTCAGCTGCAGTCGTGGATTCCACCAAGGGCTCCTCGTCTACGGGGCTGTTCGTCTAGCTGCGAGGAGGTTTAGTTACACTATCACGACCGACGTGCGTTACTCTTTCATACAGAGCCACGACAAGAGAAGAGAAGACTGTTTCGTCTTCCCCGGTCGTGCGATTCTCTAAATTTTAACTTTGTTTTACGTGTGAGAGCTGCGAGTTTCGAGACCAAGAACGTTGGAAGGCAGAGGCAATGTACATACGCAACAGGATTCTAGCAAGTCTAACGGTGGAATATCAAATGATTCTCGAATTTCTCGGTTTCGTAACATGTTAATATCTCTACTTGCTACCACATGAAGACACTGAGTAATAAGGTGACGGCTGTTGCTATGAAGCCACAAGACGTTGCTACAGCACTTGAGTCTGCCGTCACATTCGGTGGTACAGTGTTGATCGAGTTAATGGTGGAGATGCCAGTCTCGCTCTCTTCTGATCCTGCTTGACTTGCATGTGCTGGCTCGTAGTTCCAATCTACCAATGAAGCTGGACGTGTGAAGCTGCAGCCGTCGGCATACTTGATGGGCACGTGGAGACACGCGTTGGTGAAGTAAGTGCTCACTACGTCCACGATAGAGCTGGGCAGGAAGTCTTGGATCAACGGAAACACGTCGGCACCACTGACACATTTGCCCGAGCCAAATAGAGACTGCAGATCGACGCCGTACGACTCGGAACTGTTGGCAGCGAGCGGAAGACCGTCGATCCACGTAGCCAAGCGATCCAGCGCTACCACGCAGCCGCTCGTCGTATACTGGTTGCTTGTGACGGCTTCAACGATGTCGCCGTCTGTGTTTGTGTAAGCCTCACCTTCAGCCTTGAGGCAGGTCTGGTCAGTGGGTACCTGCAAGTCCTTGAGAAGTGCCGCAGCTCGGTTAGCAGACGTGGTGTTGGCAACCACTTCCGAGCTCTGAAGGAACGTGTAGCCACATCGTTGTGAGCTGGTGCCGTTGAAAGCCGGCGTCTGTGTGGCGCACAACACGTCGCCGAGGAGCTGCGCCATCTTGGTGTATTGGCCCGTGATCGTGTAGTCAAATAGCGCGACGCTCTCGCTCTCCCAGGCGGCACAGCATCCGTTCGACGCCGTGGAGCGCAGTGTGGCCAGCGACGGCAGCAGCTGCGAGCGCAGACACGGCACGAAGCCGTCCACGTACAAGGAGCATATTTGCTCGACTTCGCTCTCGTCCACAAGTCCCAGACCTTCAATGAATGAGTCCATCGCTCCACTGTCGCTGCTGCTTGAGGCGATGGAGAAATTGCCGATCGCGTACTGCACCAGCGGCACGTTAAGCAGCTCCAACGCGTTGGCGCACGTATCGACGGCTGTACTGGAGGCCATTGCCTGGCCTAGCGACGTCCCGTTCATGCTGGCAAGGCACGAACTGCCAGCGTTTGAGATGAGGAACTTGCTGGCGGCCGAGTTGCCCAGCACATTCACGAGCAGGTTGGCGTATTCGTCACCTATGACAGCACGCAGAGGCTCCAAAACCGGCGGATTGCTGTCCGACAGTGTGGCCGAACATGCCGACACGAGCTTCGTCTCGGCCGTGACGTCGTCGACTAGAAAAAGCGACAGCAGCGCCGCCGAAAGCACCAAGACGAGCATTAGATTCGAGTCTTCCCTCTTGGCTGATCTGTGCGACTGGAGACTGCGGAAAGGACATGAAAGTCAGTTTGGTGGACTTGTTGACAAGTTGTTGTAGATGGGGCACACGGACATGTAAAGTAGCATTACAAGCTCCGAAGTAACGTGAAAGTAACAATGAACTTCAACTTCACCCATACAAATGTCAAGTTAAAGGCTGATGGAGGTCATTTGCAATTTGGTTCTTACCCGACAGGCAGCTCTCGATGGCGGGGATCGTGGCGCTGAAGTGTACATTGTGCGTACGCATAAACGACTCAAACTTTGAGTCTCAAAGGCTCTCCGAACGTTTACACGAGTTTTTTTTTTTTTGTTCAACAACGACTGCAATCAAGAAAAGCATATCTTGTTTCACTACCAAAAGCAGCAGCACCACGTTCAGCTTAACTCGTTGAGATCATTACAACTGACGGTTCACCGTCAACTCCTGGGCCAGAGCCACGTAGTCCGTCTCCATTCTCGTGTGCTGTCTCCGTGAGTGCACCAGCCACGCTTTTGATCACGCTCTAGCCCAAGAGCTCCTGCATCGTGTGACCCCGACGCCATGCACTACCGATGGACGAAGCCAGGCTGTGGAAGTTGTAGCTGCCTTTCAGCACATAGCACATAACTTTGCTTCGAAGCAAATTTCCTGCCTGTTTTTCAACAATGACGAAACTTGTCGTTTTGGTGCGATTTCATTGGCGGATAAAGCAACATTTTCACTCTTCAGTCGAATTGAGGAAATGGCGGAGAGCTCTCAAGTCGAACCTGTGGCTGCGTACGCGTCGCCGTACGCTGCGCCCAAGGCTTCCGCGGACGAGGACGGCGACTACGATGAAGAGGAGGACGTATATCTGCTGCACAACCTGGTGGAGCAAGGGCGCGTGGATCGTTTGCGCTCACTGCTGCCGCTGCCGTCCGAATGCTCCGAACCTCCTCCGCGTCTGAGCGTCCTCTCAAGCGAGACGAGTCTGCTGGAGAAGGACGACATGGGCTTTCTACCACTACATGTGGCTGTGATCCACCAACAGACGGACTGTGCGCTGCATCTGCTGCGCTATTCGCCAGCACTCACAAGCGCCATGCTGCGACTCAAAGGAGGAGACTTTGGTACACCCTTCCTGCACTTGGTGCTACGGGTTGGAGCCATCAACGCCTCGTTCAGTGAGCAGCTGATCAACGAGCTATTTGCTGGCAATAAACAGGAGAAAGACAGCGATTTCTATGGGGACGACGTGCGTGCTCTGCTGTTCGAAAAGATAGCGGCGAGAGACGAAGAGGGCAACACAGTCTTCCATCTGTGTGCTCGCTACGAACTTGTCGCGTGTATGGACGTGCTTGCTGCGTTCTACAGACGACATTTAGTTGCTATGGAGGCTGAAGAGAGCGCAGCAGTCGATGAGGAGAAGAAGAAGAAGCCGCTGAAGCTCGAGACGCTACTGGAGAAGGGCAATAAGGTGGGATTCCGAGCGCTGCATGAAGCCATGAAGTATCAATCCACCGGTGCAGCAAAGAAGTTGGTGGGTGAATATAAAGTGGACGTGAACCCCGTGACGCCTCTGCATCAGACTCCGGCGCATATTGCCGCGCTGTCCAATTTTGCCGAGGGTGTGGAGATCCTACGCAATTCTCCTCGAGATGTGGCTACAGATTTCTTTATGAAAGACACACACGGTCACACAGCAGCTCAAGTGGCTCACAAGTGCAGCTTTGATGCAGTTGAGAGGCGTTTGGTGGCAGCTGAAACAGGAAAGAGCAGTACAGAGCCAGCTGATGTCAGGGAAGACGTCGTTCTTAAAGACCACACTAAATTCTTCTTCCACCATGAAGTGTGGAGGCATTTGCCCATGGCTTATCATCATCGCGGTGGGCCTGACCCGCCACCGGAGAACCCTGAACGCATCGACACTCTGGTGGACCCAGTGTTTGGTATTCTACGATCACGCGAGTTCCAGAGACCAAATGTGAAGTGGGATCATGAAATTGAACGTGCAGATATCGCCGACATTCTGCGAGTCCATGAATACCACTACGTCGATCGTATCCGTCAGAAATGTGCTGCTCTCACTGCGTCAGTGATTGGCAAGACACCTGTGGTCTCCACACGGCATCACCAGCTCAAATCGATGCCTTGTAGCGATAGAGACGACGCTGAAGAGTGTCATGCGACTTATTCGTTAGATTTCGACACGGCTTTGTCAGTCCGTTCCTACGATGCCGCTGCCCGTGCCGCTGGAGCCGTGTGCAAGGCAGTGGATGACGTGGTAGCTGGTAAGTGCAGGAATGCGTTCTGTATCGTACGACCGCCTGGACATCACGCTGGTCCGGTGGGTAAAGTGGTGTGTGAGAATGACCCCGAGGGGAGTCTTGGCTTCTGTCTGTTCAACAATGTGGCCGTCGGTGCAGCATACGCACGTGCACATTTCAAGCATCGCGGGATCAATAAAGTCGCCATCCTGGACTTTGATGTGCATCACGGCAACGGAACAGAAGAGATCGTGCGACAACTGGTGCCGTCGACAAAAGAGATTGAGTTCGAGACTCCTTATGGTACCGGCAAGCAAGTTGTACATCAATACAAGCCCTGGCGCAGCGATGATGACGCAGCGAATGTATTCTTCTGTTCAGTGCACGGATATGGACACAAGGATCCAGAGAATAAAGAGGAGTTGGGCAAAGGTGAGACTCAAGGCTGGTTCTATCCTGGCTCCGGTGTCTCTGACGTGAAAGAATCTCCTGTGATCTGGGACGAAGGACTGCCATTTTGTCATGAAGGTGCATCTGCTTCGCGTCTCAAGTGGCGTAGTGCCTTCCGGGATCGGATTCTGCCCAAACTACGTGACTTTAACCCAGACCTCATCTTCTTGTCGGCGGGTTTTGACGCCCATAAGAAGGAGCTGGTGAACTGGGGCTATGTATCGCTATTGGAGCAAGACTATGAGTGGCTTGTGGGTCACGTCAAGCAAGTGGCTAATACGTGTTGCGATGGTAGACTCATCTCGGTGCTTGAAGGAGGCTACAACTTCCACGGTCGCATGGTCTCGCCCTTCGCACGCAGCGTCGCGGCCCACACACGTGCGCTTATCAACCCAGCGCAGGAGCTCTGGAACGAGGACGAGATCGCTAAAGAAGCTGCGCGTGAGCAGGCGTTGCTGGCTAACTATCTAGCGCCGACTGCAGCAAAATCGCCCGGCGTGACGATGCTGCAGGCGAAGAAGCGCGGTAAGACCGAGGCATCAGGAACGCTGGTGAGCTCACGGAGCAAACGAGCGAGAAAAGAGGTGGACTATGTGGCACTGGCCAAGGAGCTGACCGAGCAGGGGCAGCAGTAGTGAATGCAGCCGGTTTTGAAAGTGAGACGAGGCACGAAAGATACTTTTTTGCTAGTTGTCGTTGTTGAAGTGGTCGCATACATGTATTTCTTGCCATAAGATCGCTCCGTTTTGATTGGCTGTGCACTTCAACTGAGACACTCGTTAAGCAAAGATACAGATTGCTCTCTATTAGTCTCTGATACACGTCGGTCCGCGGCCAAAACGGCGGAGCGTTTCCTGAAATTATCGCCCCCGTTGAATCTGTAGCCTGTGACCACAGGGTGGCTCAACACTCTATGTGGTTTTTATTGAGGGCACAGCAATCTGCGTTGGCGAAGCTGCTGGACACGTCGGCTTCAACATGGACCCGCTTCGACCTACACTTTTTGCGTTGCTTTGTACGGCCCGTGCCACCATCTCCATATCACTGGATCCTACACAAATGCTATAGAGATTGGCTGCGCCGACAGCTCACACTGTGAAGAGCCGAATCTAACACACGAACTAGCTTCTCATGCAGTTAGTAAACCCGCGAAAAGCGGTAGACAATAAGGGTGGTGCCTGTGCATCCGAACAGCACACTGGGCATGCAAAGCCGATGTAGCCATCTAAGACCCATCACTTCAGAGTGGCACTCAGCAGAGGGTCGGAAGATACACATCCATTTGACTTGCTCTGACTATGGACTGTACCGGCTTCCACATTAGGCCTACCCGCCGTAGAATGCATGTTTACACTTGTGTTCAGTAAGACAAAACATCAAGTATGAACCAGCCTGGGAAAGGGGTGCTGCGAGTGAAGGTGACGCTTTCTGATTGGCTATCACAGTGCGCACGCGTCTATTTTTCGACCAATCCACACGTGGCACGCCACGAAATCAGTTGTCGCACATGTCGCAGATTATAAATAGTATACTATCAATTTAAAAGAGTATACTACATAATCTAATCTCAATTGATGGTTCATAAATCATGGGAATAATATCATAATGCGTACTGATGAGGAGTACTATTTCTAGGGAGCCATTGACACCTACCATGTGTCACATACTAACTCGGCGTTAGAATCTTGCAAATAATACATGTATTTGCCAAATTTTAGCGCCGACTTACCGTCCCCCTGCTTCCCGTACTTTCGTGACGTACTGTATGCTGAGTCGCTGTATTGCTCAAGCGACCCAGCATACAGTGTAAACGTAGTAGGTAGGAGTTCAACCAACTGGCGGGTAAGACCAGCCTTCCGGCCATGTCCATTTTGACTGTTTAAAACC